ATCTGCGGAACACCTTGCAGGCGCCTACTCCCGGCGGGGTTTGTAAAGACGTTGTCGCTGACGTATTGAAGGGCAGCCCCGGTGTTGAGAGGCCTGCCTCCTTTGTGCTTCAGCCCTCTTACCGAATCCAAAATATCTTCTTTTGTGGTGTATGTATTCAAATAGAATTGGACCTCTACATCTCTGCTGTATTGGACTACAGAGACACGGTCTTTTCTTTCGCCCACATTTAGTTTTTCAACCACTTTCTCAACAAAATCACGCACAGCGGGGAAGCCATTCCTTGTGCTGTCAGAGCCATCCAGAAGGAAAACAATATCCCTTTGGGTAGTGTGAGCTAAGAAAAGACAGGAAGACAAAAAATGAAATAACATTGCAAAAGGTACACCTTTGTTCGAATCCTAAATTGCTGAGCTATTTCTTTGCAAAGGACAAGGCCTGCGTTCTCAAACTTTTCACAGTAGGGAAGTACACGGAAGCCTCTTTTAACAAATAGTTATTGAGCAAAACAGGTACTTCACTGGATTCATATCCCACACGGTAGGTGGAGCTACTCAAGAACCCTTTGAGGACACCAAGAGGCAGTGCTTGTTTACGTACCAAGTTCAGTTGGGGATTCAGGTTTGACGTCAGTAACCAAAACCTCCAGAGAGGACTGAAGTTGCTCTTGGATGAGTTGAAGGTCGGTGAAATCAGACACAGAGACAGCAGAATTGTCATCGTGGGATATCTTCTGCAGTTCTCTGCTATCAGATCCCCTGGTTCCAATTGCAAAGGTCATGACACCCAACTGTTTAAGAGCAGAAGCTGCCGCATCAACACTGTCAGAAGACCGTCCACCACTTAGCAGTATCAGGACCTGTGGAGCTCCTTCCAGGCGCCTGCTTCCGGCAGAGGCTGTGAAAACATTGTCCCTCAAGTACTGGAGAGCTGCTCCAGTGTTGAGGGGTCTTCCGCCTTTGTGCCTCAAACCTTTGACGACGTCAAGGATCTGGACTTTTGTCCCATATGTGTTCAAATAGAACTGGACAGTTGGCTCTCTGCTGTACTGAACCACTGCGACACGGTCTTTGCTATCATCAACACTGAGTCTCTCTACTACTCTTTGGACAAAGTCTTGCATGGCTCGGAAGCCAGTTCTAGTACCGTCAGATCCATCCAGCAAGAACACAACATCTCTTCCCGTTGGCTTTGCCACCACTGGGAAACATAGAGTCAAAGACATGTTTTGGTTCATGCGTGAAACACTCATAGTCCAAAAGTCAGATGATGAAAGTCAGTGCAAAGGTTTCAACATGTTTCTATTATTTCAAGCTCTACCGTCTTGCCAAAGTGGCGTTGGCTGATGTGACCGAAAGGAAACACACTTTTATACAGTTTAAGTAAATGCTACCATAATCTTGAAATGTCAATTTAGTTACTCTCTTACCAGTTACTGTTGGTGTCATGGGTGTGGCCCTCACAAGCACTGTGCTCATTAGAGAGGAAATCTGTTCTTGGACACTGGGGAGTTCAGTGAATTCCGACACAGATAGAGTGTAATTTGGGTCATGTGATACCCTCCGCAGCTCCCCACTGTCAGAGTTCCTCGTTCCAATGCCAATGACAATGATGCCCTGCTGTTTCAGAACAGAGGCTGGAGTATCTACATTGTCAAAAGACCTTCCACCATTTAGTAGAATCAAAATCTGCGGAACACCTTGCAGGCGCCTACTCCCGGCGGGGTTTGTAAAGACGTTGTCGCTGACGTATTGAAGGGCAGCCCCGGTGTTGAGAGGCCTGCCTCCTTTGTGCTTCAGCCCTCTTACCGAATCCCAAATATCTTCTTTTGTGGTGTATGTATTCAAATAGAATTGGACCTCTACATCTCTGCTGTATTGGACTACAGAGACACGGTCTTTTCTTTCGCCCACATTTAGTTTTTCAACCACTTTCTCAACAAAATCACGCACAGCGGGGAAGCCATTCCTTGTGCTGTCAGAGCCATCCAGAAGGAAAACAATATCCCTTTGGGTAGTGTGAGCTAAGAAAAGACAGGAAGACAAAAAATGAAATAACATTGCAAAAGGTACACCTTTGTTCGAATCCTAAATTGCTGAGCTATTTCTTTGCAAAGGACAAGGCCTGCGTTCTCAAACTTTTCACAGTAGGGAAGTACACGGAAGCCTCTTTTAACAAATAGTTATTGAGCAAAACAGGTACTTCACTGGATTCATATCCCACACGGTAGGTGGAGCTACTCAAGAACCCTTTGAGGACACCAAGAGGCAGTGCTTGTTTACGTACCAAGTTCAGTTGGGGATTCAGGTTTGACGTCAGTAACCAAAACCTCCAGAGAGGACTGAAGTTGCTCTTGGATGAGTTGAAGGTCGGTGAAATCAGACACAGAGACAGCAGAATTGTCATCGTGGGATATCTTCTGCAGTTCTCTGCTATCAGATCCCCTGGTTCCAATTGCAAAGGTCATGACACCCAACTGTTTAAGAGCAGAAGCTGCCGCATCAACACTGTCAGAAGACCGTCCACCACTTAGCAGTATCAGGACCTGTGGAGCTCCTTCCAGGCGCCTGCTTCCGGCAGAGGCTGTGAAAACATTGTCCCTCAAGTACTGGAGAGCTGCTCCAGTGTTGAGGGGTCTTCCGCCTTTGTGCCTCAAACCTTTGACGACGTCAAGGATCTGGACTTTTGTCCCATATGTGTTCAAATAGAACTGGACAGTTGGCTCTCTGCTGTACTGAACCACTGCGACACGGTCTTTGCTATCATCAACACTGAGTCTCTCTACTACTCTTTGGACAAAGTCTTGCATGGCTCGGAAGCCAGTTCTAGTACCGTCAGATCCATCCAGCAAGAACACAACATCTCTTCCCGTTGGCTTTGCCACCACTGGGAAACATAGAGTCAAAGACATGTTTTGGTTCATGCGTGAAACACTCATAGTCCAAAAGTCAGATGATGAAAGTCAGTGCAAAGGTTTCAACATGTTTCTATTATTTCAAGCTCTACCGTCTTGCCAAAGTGGCGTTGGCTGATGTGACCGAAAGGAAACACACTTTTATACAGTTTAAGTAAATGCTACCATAATCTTGAAATGTCAATTTAGTTACTCTCTTACCAGTTACTGTTGGTGTCATGGGTGTGGGCCTCACAAGCACTGTGCTCATTAGAGAGGAAATCTGTTCTTGGACACTGGGGAGTTCAGTGAATTCCGACACAGATAGAGTGTAATTTGGGTCATGTGATACCCTCCGCAGCTCCCCACTGTCAGAGTTCCTCGTTCAATGCCAATGACAATGATGCCCTGCTGTTTCAGACAGAGGCTGGAGTATCTACATGTCAAAGACCTGCACTATTTAGTAGAATCAAAATCTGCGGAACACTTGCAGGCGCCTACTCCCGGCGGGGTTTGTAACGACGTTGTCGCTGACGTATTGAAGGGCAGCCCCGGTGTTGAGAGGCCTGCCTCCTTTGTGCTTCAGCCCTCTTACCGAATCCAAAATATCTTCTTTTGTGGTGTATGTATTCAAATAGAATTGGACCTCTACATCTCTGCTGTATTGGACTACAGAGACACGGTCTTTTCTTTCGCCCACATTTAGTTTTTCAACCACTTTCTCAACAAAATCACGCACAGCGGGGAAGCCATTCCTTGTGCTGTCAGAGCCATCCAGAAGGAAAACAATATCCCTTTGGGTAGTGTGAGCTAAGAAAAGACAGGAAGACAAAAAATGAAATAACATTGCAAAAGGTACACCTTTGTTCGAATCCTAAATTGCTGAGCTATTTCTTTGCAAAGGACAAGGCCTGCGTTCTCAAACTTTTCACAGTAGGGAAGTACACGGAAGCCTCTTTTAACAAATAGTTATTGAGCAAAACAGGTACTTCACTGGATTCATATCCCACACGGTAGGTGGAGCTACTCAAGAACCCTTTGAGGACACCAAGAGGCAGTGCTTGTTTACGTACCAAGTTCAGTTGGGGATTCAGGTTTGACGTCAGTAACCAAAACCTCCAGAGAGGACTGAAGTTGCTCTTGGATGAGTTGAAGGTCGGTGAAATCAGACACAGAGACAGCAGAATTGTCATCGTGGGATATCTTCTGCAGTTCTCTGCTATCAGATCCCCTGGTTCCAATTGCAAAGGTCATGACACCCAACTGTTTAAGAGCAGAGGCTGCCGCATCAACACTGTCAGAAGACCGTCCACCACTTAGCAGTATCAGGACCTGTGGAGCTCCTTCCAGGCGCCTGCTTCCGGCAGAGGCTGTGAAAACATTGTCCCTCAAGTACTGGAGAGCTGCTCCAGTGTTGAGGGGTCTTCCGCCTTTGTGCCTCAAACCTTTGACGACGTCAAGGATCTGGACTTTTGTCCCATATGTGTTCAAATAGAACTGGACAGTTGGCTCTCTGCTGTACTGAACCACTGCGACACGGTCTTTGCTATCATCAACACTGAGTCTCTCTACTACTCTTTGGACAAAGTCTTGCATGGCTCGGAATCCAGTTCTAGTACCGTCAGATCCATCCAGCAAGAACACAACATCTCTTCCCGTTGGCTTTGCCACCACTGGGAAACATAGAGTCAAAGACATGTTGTGGTTCATGCGTGAAACACTCATAGTCCAAAAGTCAGATGATGAAAGTCAGTGCAAAGGTTTCAACATGTTTCTATTATTTCAAGCTCTACCGTCTTGCCAAAGTGGCGTTGGCTGATGTGACCGAAAGGAAACACACTTTTATACAGTTTAAGTAAATGCTACCATAATCTTGAAATGTCAATTTAGTTACTCTCTTACCAGTTACTGTTGGTGTCATGGGTGTGGCCCTCACAAGCACTGTGCTCATTAGAGAGGAAATCTGTTCTTGGACACTGGGGAGTTCAGTGAATTCCGACACAGATAGAGTGTAATTTGGGTCATGTGATACCCTCCGCAGCTCCCCACTGTCAGAGTTCCTCGTTCCAATGCCAATGACAATGATGCCCTGCTGTTTCAGAACAGAGGCTGGAGTATCTACATTGTCAAAAGACCTTCCACCATTTAGTAGAATCAAAATCTGCGGAACACCTTGCAGGCGCCTACTCCCGGCGGGGTTTGTAAAGACGTTGTCGCTGACGTATTGAAGGGCAGCCCCGGTGTTGAGAGGCCTGCCTCCTTTGTGCTTCAGCCCTCTTACCGAATCCAAAATATCTTCTTTTGTGGTGTATGTATTCAAATAGAATTGGACCTCTACATCTCTGCTGTATTGGACTACAGAGACACGGTCTTTTCTTTCGCCCACATTTAGTTTTTCAACCACTTTCTCAACAAAATCACGCACAGCGGGGAAGCCATTCCTTGTGCTGTCAGAGCCATCCAGAAGGAAAACAATATCCCTTTGGG